GGGGGGGGGGGGTGGGGGGGGGACAGATGGTTGGCCCCCGGTCGCTTCCCGCGCGCAGGAGGAATCCCCCAAACAACGCCCCGACCGGCGAGAAAAACAACAAGAACATGAGGCAACAACACGGCGTGGCCAGCCGGGGGGGGGTGGGGGGGGGGACGTTCCGCGCATGCCAGCCGGGATGCCACCCCCGGGCCAGCTAACCTGGTGGGCGCTTAATAGGATCCGCGGCGTGGCTCGCGGTCGGCCCCACAGCCCCCGCTCCCCCCCCCCCCCCATTCTGCTTCCTTGTCTTGGCTCTCAGGGGTCAACCCAGCGGCGCCTGGCGGTTGACCCCGACGAAAGGCCAACACACGCGCGCCCACACACGGGGAAGATCCCCCAAGCCGGTCGGGAACCGGGGGGGGGGGGGGGTCTTTGCGTGGCTCGTCGGGCAGCCAGACCGCCAGTGCGTCGCGCCCTCCGCAAGGAGAAGACCTTCGCCCTCCCGCCCCCCCCCCAACCAGCCGCTCGCCGACCGAGGAGCATCCAAGGTGCGAACCTGTGCAGGCAAGGCCGATGCATACGCCTCCGGGCGGATGTTCGCTGGGGCAGACATTCCCGGGTCGGCGATGCTCCCAACGTATTCCTGCCGGTATTGACCGGCGGGATGCGTGTCTCTTGTTCTCTCTTCCACATTTCGGCCCCCGTCCTCGGGCCCACAGGCAAGGGATCGGCCCTCCTGAGGAGAGGGGCGCCGGCGGGGCGGGGAGGCGGATGGATCACCACATGCCGAGATGGAATTCGCCCCGCGTCCCCCTGGCGTCTCACAGGCCACCTTCCCCCGCTGCGCCAGAGGGGGGGATGTCACACATTATTCCAGACCACCTGAGAAAGGGGACTGAGGGGGGGGGGGGGGCGGGGGGGCGGGGCAAAAGCCCCCACTGCACCCGATCGTGCCCAAGCGCGGCGGCGGTTGGCTACAATGCGGGGGCCGGACCGTCCCCCCTCCCCGGCCGGCCAGGTTGGGCTGGCCAATGGGAATATATCCCCTGCGCCCCCCCGCCCCCGCCCTGGCCCCAGCGTGCCTGAATCCCCCTGCGCCACTCTGCCAGGGCGGAAATATCCTGCCGGACTGGCCTGTGCACGCGCGCGCGCGCGCGCGCCTGTGCCCTCCACCCCTCTTCCCTCATGCACCTGGCCGGCCCAGCCCGGCCCAGCGTGCAGGCGCGCTACTGGGTAACCCTCGGCGCGGCAGGCCGCCCGACGGCGCAAAAGGTATGCACCGACCATACCCCGAGCATGCGACAGAGGGTTTTGATCGTTGGTCACGCGGTGGTTTCGAGTTTACGTTCTGGTGTTAATTCTCTTTGTCTCCTCGTCGCCCGTTTTCGCAAAGTCCGCCCAACAGAATCCCCCACCTTTTTGTCTGTTTCGTCGCGCCGCCGCCTCCGTGCGCCTGGGCCTGTGCGTTCGGAGACACGACACACGCATACACATGCATCCACACCTATACACACACACACATGCCGTACTTTGCGTTCTGCCAGAATGGATGGACCACTGGCAGAGGGCCTCATATCCAAATTGGGGGAAAACAAAGACCCAATCCCCCCCGCCCCCCGCCCCTGACCGTTGTTGCTGCGTTCGTCTGTTCAGCAGTTGAGGCCGACCGCGGCCGGCAATCGGAGGACCCCAGCGCCCCCTGCCAGGTCGCGCTACTGGCCCGGGCGTGTTCTGGCCTTATTTTTCCAATATTATTGTCCCCATTTCCCCCCTCCTATCCCCCCCCCCCCCCCAAAGGGGCGTGGGCACGGGTGTCTGGATCCAATTACTCCCACTGTGGGCCGCCCCCCCCCTTTGTGGAGGGGGAATAAAACGCGATCAGACCACCGCAATCCAGGGCGGGGGGCGACGGGGGGCGCATTTACACGAGCACACGCAGGCACATCCGGAAAAGTACCTCGGCCCCCTCGAGTAGCATGAGCATGCCGGCGCGTGCCCCTGCGCGATTTCTCGACATCATCCTGCCTCCATCTGCCGAAGGTCCCGGGCGGTGCCTTTCTCGGCAGACCGGGCGGAGGACTGGCCCCAGGGCTTCCTGGCCAATGGAGGGGGGGGGAGTAGCTCTTGCCTCCGGAAAGGGAATGGGCACCTGCCTGGCGGGCATCTTTCGGCATGCTGAGCTCCGATTGCTCTGGCCCGATGAAAAGCAGGCGTGCCGCGATCTTCCAACTCGGAGCGCAGGAGACTTCTTCCCTCTCCCCAGCCTTGCCCGCCTCCCGTCCACCACAGGGACTACGCCCCCGCCCCGCAGCCGGCCACGACCACCTATCTCGCGCCCTGTCCCGCCCGATGGAAGCCACCAACCCGATCAAGGAGGCGTATGCCTACCTTCGGTACCAGGCCAACAACTTCTTCCTCCCGGTTCGTCGGCCCCCCCCCCCCCCC